GATAAAAACTATCCTATCTCTCAAGTTGGAAGAAACTGCACAGAGTGTGCAAAATTTCATTGAAATCAGTTCAGTAGTTTAGGAGTTCATCGCGGACAAACAACGTGACAAGTAATTTTTATAAAAAGACATATGCACGACATTTGAAAACATTGCAAAAAAAAATGGAAACTATGTGTAGAGACAGATACCACAACATATTTCGAAACGAAGGAGGAAACTGCGCAAAATCTACGAAAGCCGTCCATTTACAGCGCCAAAGCACCATTTGTTCGGCGGCCGCTTGACTTGCCCTACCGTAAGATCAGCCGATAAGTAACCGACTGTAGCGGTGTAGGCTCAATCTAACCAGCGCTCGGCCGTACCTGACCATGTTCGATTAGTCATCACAACGTCTTCCTCATTGATCATTGTTGTAGAGACTTCTACGAATCCCTCGAAATGAAACCCCAATCTTGTCAACGACACAATATTCGGAGCAAACTGCAACACTGATCAACACATTAGAACACAAAAATCTTACTTATTATTTTCAATTCATAGCGTGTTAAAGTTAATCCTTTATTGTAGTACAACCCTTAAAAGTTTTGAACTTCAAAATATAGCAAATGATAATCATGTTTCGCGTGAACTATCAAATTACAACAAAACGAGAGCAGCAGGAGCACCTGAAGGTTCACAGGAATCGTCGGGGTTGTAGTCATCATGATTTGCGTGAAAAACAAATTGTTAACTATAAGGACAACATACACAGTTGCCTGTTCTCTCATCTATCACACATACGAGGCCCTAAAACAGAAATACGTTCTCATATCGTGGACTATAATAAAGCACTTCGCTTTCACAAGTAAACATAGGTCTTCATACGAAGTATCTGACACATACTCTTACTTGAACTTGCGAGATCCCACGTTAACTACGTGAACCACATTAAAAACGTGAACCAGGACAGCGCCTAATACAAGTTCAGAAAACATTACCGTGCACACAGCATACGACTTCCGCGCACACAGTGTGACCCCCACGCATACAGAGTACACGACTTCCGAGGCATCGCCATGTACAGCATACGCGCGCTCCGGGATGGCGCCTGCGTATACGCGCATACGCATCTGCCGAAACCAGGCCATGTTACAGCTGGACCTGGCAGTCCGTTACGACCAGCAAGGCACACACTCACGCACTTGTAATCACATCACACGTGCTACTGTAACACATAAAAGAAAACATTAAAAATACTCAGTCGGAACTTGATTTCAAGAAATGAAGCACTACTCTTGGTACACCATTCGCCTTTCTAGGGCACCAAATACTGAGCTGCGGAAAATACACGACAACTTCTGGTATGGTCCGATCCTCATACTCTCTTCAATGTCAGAACTAATTGGCTCTACTTCACTTTCATCAGTTATACTTCGGTTTTCCGGCATTTTTCGCAACCAATTAAAAATGTTAACACTCGTTCTTACAAATATAGTTTCAGAGCCAATATTTAGGATAAATTTACTTTCCTCATGTAGTATCTAATGGTGATCAGTAGCAGCGACAAATAATAAGTTCACGGCGTCATAAGCCGACAGCATACTCAAAAGCGAGCGCTACAGCTCCACGCTTTCCACTAAACCATTCCAAGTTTGTCGACTACGTAATGCTCGGAGTAAACTGTAACACTTATCATCACATTAGATCACAACAATACTACTTAGTGTTTTTAAGTCATAGCACGTTAAAGTAATCATGTTCTTTTTTTCGGTACATCGTTTAAACATTTTGAACTTTTAAACTAGGCCATGTAAATCACACCTCGTGTATCAAATTATAACATTACTTGAGCAAGTTAAACTTCCACTGAATGCAAACTATAACTCATTCAGAATATCACCAACATTTCTTTCGACATTTGTTATCATATTTGGGTACGTTAAGAAATAATGAAATTACTTGCGGGTACTTTCTATTATAAATTGAATAAAAAGATTTATCTTTTGACTTAAAACATTTCACTTTAAACTTTTACTCTACACTTTAATGATTCGTCAATGTCGTAAATACGACAACAAACTTGATTTAAGAAATTGAACACAAAAACAAAACGCGAGGCGCATTATAGTATTTCACCAACGTAATAACCCTTACACTATTCAAAGGTTATAGCAGGTGGGCAGTAACAGGGACTTTATCCCACTTCTGATGTAGGAAGGGTAATTGAGTAGTACTGAGACTGATTTTGTAGTTAGGAATAATAATTAGGTAATTCGTTTACACGAATTAACTATCCAACGAGTCGAGGATAAACTAGTAACGGAATACGACAAGCGCACCGTTCCACGTCAGAGCCAAGACTGTTCTCTCCAGTATTATATATTAGTCTATGGACTGTTCTAACGGCGGCAGCTCCGTCCGTTTTATACAAGCTTAGCGGGCGCCACCGCAGGTGCAAAGGTGCAGGTGTGCGGAGCACGTGTTATTTACAAGAATTCTGTCTAGCTACACAGACGCCGTCGCAGGTGCAATGGTGCACGTGCCGTCATATATATCATACTCTTTGAAATGTATCCTGAAAAACTCCGAAAGGCTGGCTACTTTGTGCATGTCCTCGAGACTCGAGATATTGGTTTTAATCACGTATCGCTAAAGTTTGAGAGCCGTCGGCAAATCGCAGTTATTGCACTAGAGTTGTTATTAGTTAAGTGATAGCGTTGAGGGGCGGTTATGTAATTATCAAGCCGCGTGCGCCATCAGATAGCTTGCAGTAGATAAAGTCTCTCGTGCCGGTAATCGAATCGAACACTTCAATCGTTACGCGGTAAACATTAAATATTTTGTTTTTCGAACAAACGTTCTTCCTCATTTTTAATTCAAGAATTAAATTACCACACTACAACTGTTTTCGTAAAAGTTCATTTATGACGTAATTTGATTTTAGTGTAATGGCGGTATACTACCGTGTAGTGGCGGTGTAAGAATATCTACCATCCCATATCATCCCGTGGGTGTCGAAAGAGACGGAGGGAAACAAATCAGGAGATCGGCATCAGCGTCTTCCCAATAACGACTAAAAATTATAAATTGCGGTTGCCAGCCCGCTTGGCAACTATGGCAAATATCCGTATGAGGCAATCTATGGGGAGGCGTATGTTCAGCAGTGAACTTTAGTAGGTTGTAACGGTCGACTTAACGATCATCCTCATCAACCAGTAAAGTCCACTCCCTGGGCATGTGATTCGACCGTAGTAAGAATGATTTACCAATATCAGTCCGCTTTGCAAGAGTTTACACTGTTTATCACAGTAGCAGACACCGCACACTTCATAGAATGTTTCCCGACGCCTGGAGAAGCCCAGTTGTGGTAGCCACTTATATAAGTCACGGAAAATACCCAGACCAGTGATGGGAAACCGTATCGAAGGCACTGGATATCTATTTTTTTTATAGTATAAGGGTGACAAACGAGCACACAGTCACCTGATGGTAAGTAGTTGCTGTGGCGAATAGACGTCTACATCCATCCCCAACTACGAACCAAAATGCAGTTGCGTTGTCACCGGTGAGGACTCAGATAGAATGCATCGTTTCCAATAAAAGCGTTCTCCGGTTCTCTACACTCACCATTCCTAACACAACAGCGTTAAGCTAATATATAACGCTGGTATTCCGTGAGAGCGTAGTTCTTTCCCGGTCGAGCCGACCCATTCGTGGTACAACTATACTACTGATATAGCCGCAGCAAGGCTCTATCTAGCGTTGTGCTTATCGAGGCTAGACTAATCCTCGCTGTGGTAAGTCGAGGACTTACGCTAACCCATTAACCACGATCTGGCTTACATAACACCAACGTGATAAAGTGGAAGCAATTAATGCTGGATTCTCTAACACTTTCAGAAGTTTACCGTTACCGTTACAGCCTATTAAAGTCCACTGCTGAACATAGACCTCCCCCATAGATTTCCTTATAGGGGGGGAGGGTATTTTCCATAGTTGCCACGCTTGGCCAGCGGGTTTTTTTCTATTTGTAGTCGTTATAAAGAAGACACTGTTGCCCATCTCGTAATTTGTTTTCCTCTGTTTCGACACCCACGGAACTATATGGGGTAGTGGATATTCTTACACCGTCACTACACGGTAGTTGCGAAGTAAGAATATCAGTGTAGTCCAGAAGTTTATCACACTATACCTACTGTTTCGGTCTTTCAGAACCTCGGAATATCAGTTTTATGCGTGGTAATGGTGGGGTTATTACAAAAAGGTTGTCAGGGTCCATTTCTGTTTATGATTCCATCAAAGAATATACACTTTTACCTATTTCTGCTAAACTTAAAACGCATCTACAGTTTTTTTTATACTATGAGAGGGGTATGAGACATTTTATGTTAAATAAATTAATTAATAGTTTATATTTGGAATTTGCTGGAATGGATCGGATTTATGGAATCCTAAATCTCAAGATATATTAGTTTTGAGGATGTTAGGTTTATTTTTGTTAGTTTTATAGAATAAGGGTGACAAACGAACACAGTCCACCTGAGGGTAAGTGCATCCTGTTGCCCATAGACGTATACATCTATCCTCATATAAATATGAAAATAAATATATCCTCATATATCCATAAAAAAATCAAAAATTGTCAACCCTGAGGTCATAGACTCTGCACTCACTATACGAAACAACAGCATTAAGGTGCTATTTTACGTATTCTGTAAGAGTGTCCTTGCCCGGTTGAGTGAATCCATTCAGGCTACAACTATATTATACCTGCAGCATGGCTCTACCAGGTAAAAGATATCACAGTTTTGAGGTTGTTACGTTTTGAAGTTTTTGTAACACAATGGGCATTATCTTTTTTGATGAAGACTGCGTGCGTATGAAAAAAAAACTTCACAACGACCTTACTAATATGATTAATAACCAGTTGTGAACTTGATAGTGTGCGCAGACTGAATCTCACCGCACACATATTTTATTTCTATTCAGTATTAAACATTTAGCCCATCGCTTCGCAGACTTACCCCTGGCCATGTCGTGGAATACCAACAACTCGTTCGGAAGATTCGTGCTGGGGCTCCGTGGTACCGAAACTAGAGAGAGACGATGAGGTGCGGATCGAACCGTGGCGTCTACCGGACCTACGGCCACCTTTGCACTATCTGCATGATAGAGGTTAGTAAGGCAATAATTTTTTCTTTAGTTACAGACATATATATGAACTTTCACAGCCAGGTGTTGAGAAGCAGTATTTTCAGGCTATTCACTGATTACGCCCAGCCTACATAGTGAGGTGTAGGTGAGTGAATAGGTAAATGAGTGGTGTGGTATGAATGGATGATGAGGTAGTAAAAAAAAATAATTAAATCCTAGAATCTAACTAGTAAAGTATAGCTACGAGGACAGTAATAGAGTTATGCGGCTGGCATAATAAACATGTATTATTCGACGATTTAAAAAAAGGAGGTGTTCAAGTTAACTGTGAGTTTGTTTTATATGTATATTACACCATAGCTGTCAATTGTAAACCGATTTTAATGATTTTTTTTGTTGAATAAAAAATATATTAAAAAAAAAGATTTTAAACACCACAATGTGAAATTATTTCATTCTTATTAGTTCTATATCCTGTACTCCTTATTAAAAGTTTTATTTTTATTTTTTATTTTATGACATTCTAAATACTCTCTGATGTCACTCTACAGGAAATATATTGGGCCACAAGCCACAAGAATATGAGACAAGGCATATACACAGGCACTCAATTGTCTTGAACTACTCTAACTTGTGAAAAATTAATGAATCGTCGGAGATATAAGTTACATAATACATCTTTTACAAAAAAATGTTTTTGCTCAAATTTAAACCAAGGACGAACAACTCTGGCAAAAGCTAATGCTAAAACGGTTGCCTAAGCAATGTATATAAATAGTTAGTTGGCACAATATTCAATAATTATAGCGTACACATCAAACATCACATTGAGTAGGTACAAATCGATTTTCCGTCTCCAGGTAGCGTCCTTATCTCTATATAATTGTTGCTGTTGGGAGGCAATTACGCGAGTTTGCGCCTTACAAATTAATATTCCACGCATAATTAAAGCAAATGTTTGAAGCTTAATCTCGCGGCTATATTACGTACCAAATGTGTTTGAAACTATGCAACTTTTTTTTTATTCAGGTTACTATACTTGAAACCTTTTTTATTATCAATAAATAAAGGATCTAAGTAAAAATGCAGCCGATGAAGAATTTAATTCAAATATTATGCCTTCCATATTATTGGAAAATATTATATAGTCCAAGTTTTTCCTCGGCATTAATTTTTTTTAATCCTGTAAATCATAGACTTAGAATGTACCTGTACTTAAATATATGTATATAGATAACTGTATAATATATGTATTTCAAGAAGTATCAATTCCCGCGCGTCAAAATCGTGTCATCCAGAGATTATAAACTACTTTTTGAATGAGAGTAAAAGAAGAAAAGTGACAGGTGACAATTGTCCATATTTTGAAATATATCGTTTAAAATAACTATTTATTATAATATTATTTTATATATAATTATACATTTGATGCGAAAAAGGATGCTTCATACAGTGGTGTAAATTTCTATAAGCACAAATTTCACGAAAAAATTTTAGGAGTGAAAAACGGACATTTTCGTGAACACCGCCGGATTTTGATGTTTGCCGAACCAAATCAGAAAGTGGCAGATTGTGTATTATCTCATATAAGGAAAGATTCCACGCCACGCAAGCCTTACAATTCCAACCCTGACATCAATAAATCAGGTGAGCCTAGCAATATGACTACTCGAAAGCATAAACACGACAACGACTTCTCAGAGGCTCTCAATAATTTTACCTCAGAGATACGAAGAACTTTACATGACTGGAAAAAGGAAATTCAAGATGAAATATCAGGAATTAAAAATAATTTAGACTTCGTATTAAAAACCGATCTTGAGAAACTAAATGCATCCTTTGCTGAGATCATGTCGGAACTAAGCAGCGTCCGTCAGGAATATCACGAGATTAAAAAGTCGGTCATATCTCTTGACCTAAAGTACAACGAGACAATGAAGCAAATCACAGTTTTAGAAAACTCTGTACAATTCAATTGCGACCAATATGACCATGTTCAAAAGAAAATTGAATTATTATCTGTTAACAAAAAAGCAATCGAATCACTAGAATCTAAAATGGACTTATTGACTAACGAAAACAGACTATTACAATTGGAAATTAACACAAATAATCAAAGAGATCGCCTTTTGAACTTAGAGATCGTCGGCGTTCCTGAAATCAAGGATGAAGACTTAACCAATTTAATTATATCCATTGCTAAACAGTCTAATGTAACTATTTCCCCTAATGATATATTAGAAGTTAATCGTGTCACACCGAAAATCAAACAACAGGGCCGCCCGAAAAATATAATTGCAAAGCTTAAATCCCGTCTTCTAAAGGATAACATAATCTCTGGCACTCGAAAAAACCGACTGACCACCAAAGACCTTGCCATACATGGCAGCGTTCGTCCCGTATATGTCAATGAGCATCTTACACAGTGCAATAAACTTCTACTAAAGAAATGTAGGGAGACGGCGAAACTTAAGCAGTATCAATATGTGTGGACAAAAAACGGGAGGATCTACGTCAGGAAGAACGACACATCTCCGGCTTTGCATATATCACAGGAAAGAGACGTTTTAAAATTAATTTAATCTTACATTGTATATTGTTTTGTTCTCTTTTCAAGTACGTTATATTGCTTAAATTTATCAATTCCATCGTTGTAAAAGCAATTCATTGGTCTCTCTTATCTCATTTTGTCTATATTATATATCATTGTTTGACCGCACGTAAAGGGAGCTCAATTAATGAAATATTTTTGGTCTTAAGTGTATTAGTCACACGCGCGATAATTGTGCAGCTAAGTTGCATCCATATTCTTCACGAACGTTACTCAACTATATATATATTATGGTTTCTTTTACTATATCCTTTATATTTAATAAAATACCAATTATATTTTTTCTGGCGTCTTGTATATTATGTATTAATTTATTTTACTTTGTCAATCTATGAATTCATCTATTATATTGTTATTATTCATAATAATTACCCGTTCAATATTTATTTATTAAATCTAACAACAATACTTAAAACGTCTATATTGTTACATTCGCGATATTTATATATATATTTAATAACTGCTCTGTATATTTATAAGCTCGCACCCTTTTATGTTGACTCGACTATATTAATCAAATCGTTTAAGGATTCATTCTGTTATATCTTATTGATAAATTTTATACTCTACCACCTTATACAAAAAATCAAGTCACTATTAACTAGCAACTGCCGAAGTGATATATCATTGTTCGTACTACTTAAGTCTAACGTAAACAAATTATTAGTTCTGTTACTCTGTGTAGCTTTAAAGTACTATAAATTTAACACAATTGGGTACATATTTGATTTTGATTAATGGCTGTAAATAATTTGTACTGTTATTATCAGAATGTTCGTGGTCTTAGGACTAAATGTCTTGAATTACGACTAAATATTTTGACGAACGATTACGACATTATAATTATGACAGAATCATGGCTACACAGTGGAATTTTTGATGGTGAATTGTGCGACGATAGGTATGACGTGTTCAGGGCTGACAGAGATTTGCGTAATAGTGGTAAAAGTACTGGTGGTGGAGTATTAATACTGACACGACGTACACTCGGTGCCATGTATCGTGACCTCGGCGAATGCGGTCTTACTGAGCTATTGTGGATCACTATTCCTTCAAGCGCGTGCGCTTCAAATTCCAACTTACATATTTGTGTGGCATATATTGCCCCTGACCCTCATCAAATGCAATCGGATCTCATTTTTATTAAACAAAAAATTAATAGTATTATCGAGCTTTCACCAAATGATAATTTTGTAATATTAGGAGATTTCAACTTGCCGTTCATTTCTTGGAACCCAAACGGATATACAGCTTTGAAAAAAGGGCCTACTGAGGTACAAGAAGCGAGTATCCAGCTGATGGAAACACTAACATTTCACGGGTTAAGACAATTTAATACTTTAAAAAATCATGCTGGTAACACATTAGATCTTGCATTCTCTAATCTACCTCTGAATATCATCCCTGCGGCTGCGCCGCTACTCAGGGAGGACCACGCACATCCTTCTTTTTGCTTCATAGTTTTGGATTTAAACATTACTCCTCTACGGGAAACAGCTGCGCCGAGGCGAAATTTCAGGAGGGCTGATTATGAAAAAATTAATACATATCTTTTAGAACAGGACTGGAGGTCTCTTTTATGTACAGGCACTGTAGACGAAGCTACAAATACCTTTTATAACATACTAGATAGTTGTGTTCGTTTACATGTGCCTTTTAGTTATAACATAGGGAAGCGATCATATCCTAAATGGTACACACCTGCTTTAATAAAAATAATTAAGGAGAAAAACAATGCTCACACACGTTGGAAAAAATTCAGGAATAGATTAGATTACGATGAGTTTTCGTTACTCCGAGCAAGAGAACACCGTGTTCAGAGAGAATGCTTTAATAAATTTACGTCAAGTTGTGAAAATAGCATCAAAACACATCCTAAAACATTCTGGACTTTCGTCAAAGCCATTCGGGGTGGGTCAGGTTACCCTAAGAAAATGTCTTTGAAAGATATAGAGTACACCGATGGTATGGACATATGCAATGCTTTCAACTCATTCTTCAAGAGTGTATTTGGTATTCCTAGTAATAACTACATATATCCACATACGGAATCGTTGTGTACTGACACCGTTTCTAATGTACAGACAAACGCTGCAATAATTGAAAAAATGTTGAAAACTTTGGACACGAACAAAGGTGCCGGTAGTGATGGGTTACCTTCTTTTTTTTGGTCACGATGCGCTAAATCACTTGCTCTCCCCTTGACTATTATATTTAATCGCTCTCTACGTGAAGGGATATTTCCGCATCAATGGAAGTGTGCACACATAATCCCTGTACACAAGAAGGGATCACGTACAGAAATAAATAATTATAGAGGCATTTCTATTTTGAACACCGCGGCTAAAATCCTTGAACGAGTAGTATATAACGTAATTTACTCCACGCTTTCACGTGCCTTCCCTGAGCAGCAACATGGTTTTTTACAAAGGCGATCCACCACTACGAACCTGGCAAGTTTTTCTTCTTTTGTCCTTGAAAATATGGATCAAGGTGGGCAGGTTGATGTGATCTACACTGATTTTGAAAAAGCTTTCGATCGTGTGGATCACATGATCCTGCTCAACAAATTACAAATATTAGGGATTCACGGTGACTTGCTCCGATGGACTGAATCATATCTCACAAACCGCTCACAAGCAGTCGTGATAGGTGGTTTCCGTTCGAACTACATAAACATACCTACAGGTGTTCCTCAGGGCTCTCACTTAGGTCCACTTTTTTACAATGCCTACCTATATGACATTGGTTCGTGCATTATACACACAAATTACCTCATGTATGCAGATGATAAGAAGATTTTTTGTAAAATTAACACCATACATGACTGCCTATTGATACAAAAAGACCTGGACCGTTTATTTGAATATTACAAAATAAATAATATAACTGTCAATGCAAGCAAGTGCGAATGTATTAGTTTTACACGGAAATCTAAGCCAATTCTAAATAAATATCACTTTGACGGATTAGAAATCAGCCGAAAAGTAAGTGTTAGGGATTTAGGCGTAATTTTTGATCATAAAATGATACTATCCGAACACATTGATTACGTTATCAGTAAAGCCTATAAAAATCTTGGTTTTGTTCTTCGCATCTGTAAACCATTCTCGAATATTAATACAATTAAAATGGTTTATTTTGCATATGTCAGAAGTGTTTTGGAATATGCTAGTTCAATATGGTCTCCACAGTACAATGTCTACAAAAGCCGCCTTGAGCGTATTCAAAAAATATTTGTTAATCACCTTAACTTTCGCTGTCGGAATAAAATCGATACTTACACAGACAGTTGCACTGAGCACAATCTCTTATCTCTGGAACACAGGCGCATTTTGCTTGACATGGCTTTGTTATATGATATAATAAACAGTAATATTGACTGTCCATATCTTGTCTCAAGAATCACCTTTCGTACTCCAAAATTCCGTACCCGCAATACTACATTGTTACAGACTCCCTGGCATCATTCAAACTACTGTCGAAACACTGTTCTTTCGCGGCTTGCTCGTACATATAATGAACAATTTGGACACATTGACCTCTTTGCGAAATCTAAACTTACGTTTAAAGATTACATCAAGAAAACTATTACGAAATAGAGCAGTTGAAGTTAAAATCACATACTATCATATATTCTCTCATCTATTTCTTCTATATGTATTTTTGAGGCTACTAATATAAATATAAGTACTTAAGTTATTTTATTTAATATATATTATAATTAATTATTTGTATTACGTTTATATATTTAAACATTTAATATGTATATATACATAAGTAAATAATATATATGTATGTATATATATATCTTATATGTTTATATATATATATATATATATATATATATATTTATATATATATAAAGGTAACGTAATATATCATTCTACCTGACTATCTCTCCTGATCTGTAAACTTATGACCACCTTCATTACATTGAATTGCTTATAATTTTGCTTATAATTTATCTATTAGATTGTTCTTTTTTCTTTTCTTCTAACAACAATACACCTACCATCAAACAATATAAGGGAAACCTGTTATTGGCCATACTTTAAGTTTGTTACATTAATGTTAATATTTTCTATATACGCTGTTGGTTTTCTAAATAAATAAATAAATAAATAAATAAGACCAAAGAGTATAGTAACTGTCCTATAAGACGGTATGATTCTGTCATACATAATCATTGCACTTCGTAAATACCATAGACATAGTGTCTATGCTAAATACGGTCCACAATGCTTGGAATATTTTTCGAAATCTTACTAAAAACGCTATTTTTATTTACGATATTCTTATGCGCTAAAATAAAATGTAACCTTTTAATACATAATTAATGCAACCTTTCACTCCCGCCGTCGTATGATACTAATATCTATTCAGCTGCCCTTGCTGTATTTAACAAAACATTTCTAACAATTGTTTTTATATCTTTTATAAAATTCTCAACTACGTTTCAGAAGGAGATAGCTGCGCAGCCTGCGTCGCACCTTTACCCCTGCTTCCCCCACCAGCACCAGCGCCACATTAGCCACAAGGAAAAAGAAAGACTATTTTCAGAATTTCAAACACCAAGCAATAAGTTATAGTAGCAACCACGAGTGCATACATAGTTTATTTGTTTTTAGAAAAGTTGGTGGTAGATCTGTAGTGTGGCCATTTGCAAAAATGTATAAAATAACCAAAAAGCGTCATTCATACAACGTGAGGTATTATACTTAATATTTATATCAGAAATTCAAATCATTTATCATTATTTTTACTTTAAGCTGGTCATAAATTGTTATTATCCGGCATTGTGTCTATTCATAATTCATGTCCAATTATTTTATATATTATGTTAACGCCAAAATTGTGTTTATGAAAATTTTATTGTAAAAAATAAGTTATTATAAAGGATATCCTTTGCCCATAAATAAATTACATGTTAATACACATCTTGCCAAATCAAATATTTATTAATTTAATTATTTTCAGTTATTACTAAACAGATATTTACATTGTTCGTTTGACATAGTTAAACCGGCGCGACGACTAGTACTTTAAAAATAAATAAATTTACAACAACTTTAGGAAATTTATAAGTAATTTAAATATCCCTTTTTACTGGAAAAGAGGCATTCCATCTTAGTCCTCACGGGTGACAACGCATCTGCATTTTGATTCACAAACGAGGATAGATGTAGATGTCTATGGGCCACAGCAACCGCTTACCATCAGGTGGACTGTGTGCTCGTTTGTCACCCTATCGGCCCTATCCTATAAAAAATATCGACAATTGGATAAAATCTGTCATTATTTTAATATTTTATATAAGTTGGCCCTGCAGGCTCATAAATTACAGTCCAAAGAATTATAATAATATTCTTCATACATTCCTTTGATCTAGTTTGCTTTATGTGCTTTAAAATTTTTGTACAAACCCGCAACAGAATATATAATAATGATAATTATTATTGGTACGATCCATATCCGGATATGGTCTGCGGACTAAGCATATATCGTGATTCCGGTGGGTACTCGATTTTAGAGTGCCTATACTTAAGCAAGTAGCTTGCTTATGTATACCTAATTATGTATATGTGTACTATGTAATTCGATAGTTTAATGTCTCTTTCCTATTAAACTTATTGGCCTGTCTGGATACAAATCTCTGCACAAATGGACGGAATCTGTACATCTAAACAAATAAATACATTTGAAGTGTCTGTTTGTAATGTAAAAATAACAGCTTTTTACTTAATGCATATGAAAGTACATACGGTACTTATAACAAAAAAAAAACAATTTTTTTAAATGTATCTAAATGCATTTTAAAAGTATATACGGTACTTATAACAAAAACACCATATTTAACTGTCTGTCTGTCTGTTTCTTCCGGCTAATCTCCGAAACGGCTGGACCGACTTTGACGGGACTTTCACTGGCAGATAGCTGATGTTATAAAAAGTAACTTAGGCTACTTTTATTTTAGAAAAAGAATTAGTGTTCCGCGCAAACAAAATCAATCGTAATAAATTACACGCGGTCGAAGTCGTGGGGAACAGCTAGATGATTAATAAAAGCATAAATTAATAACAGTTTGAGAAGTCTTAAATCATTTTTCACTTTCATTACAACTTAGTCCCCTGATGAACTTAAGCCTCCCCTATAGATTGTCTTTTGGTGATACTTGCCACAGTTGCCACGCTTGGCAAGCGGTTTAACAACCGCAGTTTTCTTGGAACGAAGTTCCTTTTCAGACGGTACGGGTTTGGCGGATGGGAGTAGGTACCCCTTGTGTCATAGTTTAATTTATTTTAAATGACGCTTCATTTTAATAGACGCTAATAATGAATTAATTTATATTTGTTAATCAATAATGTAATACGTTTATCAATAATAACATACTATGAAAGGAACTTCGTTCCGAACAAGTGTTCCACGACACTCACGCATGCTTTTTTTTTAAATTATTTTGAGCTGTTATTAGGAAGATACTGCTGCTTATCCCTTGTTTTAGTTTCCCTCTGTCGCTTCTGGCCGGCTAGCATGGGCGGGGGACAATTTTATCCCCGGGGAAAGGAGAAAATGTTTATCCCCTCGCTTAATTTTATCCACCCTTGGAGCATGGGCACACCGGTGGATATATTATCCACAGTAGATAAATTGGGAGATAGACTTAGACTTAGATAGATTTTTTTTGTATGAATATAAACTTCAACCCACGTCCAATGAACTAGGATAAAATTGTCCCTTTCAAACGTCCAAAAAGCATAATTTTTTATCTTTCATTTGGCTCCATGCTACGGACGGGAGATATATGTCCACTCGTTATGTATATACGGTATATACGGGGATATACTTCTCCCCGTTTGAAATAACAAGATAATTTTATCTCTTGTCAGTGGATATAATCGGGGGATAAAATTTTTGTCTCCTGCCCATGCTAGCCGGGCTGTATGCCATGTAGTGGCGGCGTCAGAGAATCCACAACCACATATAAATCCCGTAGATGTGTTAAATATAAATAATTCGTAAATATACCAAACCTGTAACTATTAGCTCATCTATCATCACCGCTTGTTTCATCAGATCATAATTGCATTTTCTTCTATAGCAGAGCTCTATATTTAACAAAGTACTAAATTAAGAAATCCATTTCTAAGTACCGATTTTTTAATCCTCAGATAAAAGTTATTCATAGTATAAAATACAACATAAATAAATTAAAAATTACGTTTGTATGAATAAAACGGTTCCTTTTTATTTCACTATTATATTTAGTCGGGCTATAATTTATTCGACGGATAACATTATTTATCTGACGAAATTAGCCGTAAGTTAAATAGTTAATTTATAAAAATAATAGTCTTTTTGTTGCATTATATTTTCACAGTGTACACTACTTGTAAATAATTGAATGCCTATACCTTTTAAATATGTAGTTGAACCGATATTGTTCATAAATACGGTATTGCAGACGGATTATAATCGTCCGTTGAGGTTTATAATGTAGGTACTTAACCATTGTCAGCAATATTTTGGTAGCACAGAACAGAAAAAACACACTTTTTCTCTTCTGTGTATGATACCATAAAATTGTTTTATGCACTAGACTTAAACTTGTTGTAGATTCATCACAGAACTAAAATAAAAGTTACAAAATGATACTTAGAATGTATTATATTAGATTATTGAATAACAAGCAATTAAATGTTATGAATTTAATTCATAAAGCAATTTTAATAAGTAATAAATATAACAAAACGTATTCTTACTTTGCTCTTGGGTTTCATAATCTTAATTAAGTATCTAGTCGTATTTTCTAGTGGTCTTCAGAGGACATTAATGTAAACTTGAAATTATCATGACATCACCGTTGTACTATTGTAAATAATAAACTATATAGTAATTAATAATGTATGTATTTAACCATAAAGTTATCGTTTAATAGAAAAATCGTGTAATTAAAAAAACACTGTGCGTGATAAGATTTAGAATTAAAGTGGTAAATAAAAACTTTTATGTGTAATACATATCATGAGTTCTAGTCGAGTAAATTGTATCTACTAATATAGATATATATATACGTAGTCGCAATATTAAAGGAAAACTTTGAGATACTTTATTTTATTTAAGCGTTAATACCTACGTATAACGTCAACGTTTGCATAGCAAGCATCTGCAAGCATGGAGGAAATGAGGGTTGTAGGTGGATAGGGACCATGTTTTGTGTTGTCTTATTGCCTGTAATAATGATAATGTTGATGTATAAGTTTACAATTTGTTTTTTTTTACTTTTTAAAAAGACACATGAAAACAAGACAATGGTTCGGTTGTGGACTACGCTTTGTTGTTTTCTTCTCTACCTGCATACTTTATAATAAGATAAAGTAATAATAAACTGCGGTCATCAAACAACTTGCCAGCGTGGCAACTATTTACTCTATGAGACCATCTATGGGCGAGGCTTATGTTCAGCACTGAACGTTGATCGTAACGGTAACGGTAACGGTAAGTGAAGTAACGTTAAATGCAGATAAATGTAATATAGTGCACATGAGTAAAGAAACCAACACGAGATTGCGTGACTTGGTACTGTGATTTTCGACCCGCCTAGGTACCAAGTGTGACGAATAATGCCCGATTCCCATCGATATATATGTACTACGTACTAGATTTCGCATTCCGAACATACAATATGTTCAACTGAACTGTACTGCAATCCGTACAGTGTGTCATTTAGTGTGGTTTCAATCTACTAGTTAGTCTGTGGTTTCAATATAATGCAGTGTGGAGCGGCGCTAATAATACAATACTTCAAATTCGTAGATAGAGGATTAAGATACTATGTCTATGTTCAAATTAGTCTAAATTAAAAACTGACTGCGCAGGCGCAATGCGCTTAAATCAACTGCGCATGCGCGAATCTACTATCTCCCGCGCATGCGCGAAAACATAGAGTAGTGCACATTTTTTGTTTGGAATGGCTTCTCTAGTACGTAGTACATATAACTCAATGCCGATTCCTATATTCAAGAAACGTTTCGTTTTCCGTAACGATACGTTTTATTACATACGAGGTACATGTAAAAACAGTACAACTTTAAACAGTTCCTAAAGAGTTGAACTAGTTTTTGAACTCAGTTTAACATTCGTGGTCTCTGCTATCTGTCTATTTATCTACTGCAAAACGGATGGTAAAAAGAAAACCAAGCGTTTTTAAATACAGAAACCCAACATAAGACAAATCCTCTATATACACTAATAAAGGTATATGTCAGAGGCGGATTAAATGTCGACAGCATCCTAGCCTAGCACATCATGGGCGCCTCTCTGGCGACCATTTGTATTATAGTAGGTACGTGAGGGTAGTATGGTCATCCGGTTAATATGGTCACTTTCTTATAACTCAAAAACTACAGCCATGTTTGCATAGAAGGCTCTGTGATACGATAGCTCTTCATCAGTCAATCAAATATTAAAGGGTCAAAAGGGCGCTGCTTTATCGACGCCATTTTGACAGTTGATATTATAGTAAATATTTTAGTTATTGTGTAGTTAGTTTTTTTTTAAGTAGATTTTTCTAAGTGTTCCTAATTATTTCCAAAGCTTGTTTGCTATTTTTTCTTAATATATTAGTTAAAGTATACGACTTTGTGTTTTTGGGAGATAAAGCTTAAAGTGACCATATTACCCTCACGTACCTAATAAATTATAATTTATAATGTAAACTATATAATAGTTGCAAAATAATAACGACACGTGAACGCTTAACAGGTGGGCGTGATTGAAAACTGTGATGAGAGAGTGAGGGTGATGATCTGGTAATCACGTAAGTTGTCGTTTTTTTTGTTTAAATACTTCTGCGGACGTCCTTTAACCTTGCGCCTCTAGGCACGTGCCTAGTTTGCCATAAGGATAATCCGCCACTGGTCTATGTCCAGTAATGGAGTTTTACGGACTAATGATGACGATGATAAAGTTAGGAGGGTTTTTGTATTAAAGGGAAATTAAATTTACTTTTCACTCATGGCAGGCGGGTTGACAACCGCAGTTATTATTTTAGTCGTATTAAGGAAGATGCTGCAATCAATCTAAGTTGTTGTCCTCTGTTGCCTCTTATGACACCCAGGCGACGTAATGGGCTATAGTAAGTATTCTTACACCGCCACTACACAGTTTGCTTTATTACTTTCTTGATGGTAATGCTTATGCACTAAGATTTGAAGAGGGTTTGAGAAGGTTTTCGATACTAAGTTAGAAAAAAAGCGCACTCGCGCCAATAAAGGCATTTACGGCTTTTCCTGCCACCAGGGCGGTGCCACTTTGGAATGAGGTGAAATATTAGACAGATTTCATTTCGGGGGAAGTTAATTTGTTAGAAAAGTTTGTCTATTAATTTTTATTTCTGAAATATTAGATAAATTTAATTTTTATTATTTAGATTAGAAATGGACTGATCAAACCAGGAATCACTCTTAAAAATTAAAAAATACAGCACTAAGACATTATTTTGGGTATTTACATATTCTAGAAACCGAAAATATAACAATAAGACCGGAACTTTTCAGTGATGATGACACTGACCATCTGCATATAAAATAAGTTCACCTTGGTCTCAACTAGCGACACCTGGTGAGCGTAAGATTATTAGCTCTCGTTACACTAACCAGCGTGGTGGCAATAAGTGCCTTTGTTAGTATTTAATTTTTACGGTATTCATAAATTACTATGTTAAGGCCATATTATTATAATGTTATAACTAAATAAAAATACTATTTTTTCACGTCGTAGAGCCATACTGCAGCTATATTATGGTTGTAGCTCGAATGGGTCAGCTTGGCCTGGAAAGAACACGCTCTCGCAGAATACCAGCATAATATGATGCTGTGTTTCGCATGGTGAGTGTAGAGAACAGGAGACCCTTTTACAGTAAACGGGGCATTCCATTTTACTCTAAGAGGTGACAGCACATCTGCATTTTGTTTCTTAATCAAGGATAGATGTAGATGTCAAAGGGCCACGGCATTTACTTACCATCATTAAGAAAAGAAGAAAAAAGCCGTGTTTGCTCAAAAGCTAAGCGCTCGCCGTAAACTTTACAGTACACGAGCAATCCGGATTTGATCCCCGCCGGGAAGGCTAAATTGGCTTCTAAAAAGCTTGGTGAACTCAGCAGAACGGGACAGTAGTTCATACCGGCACATCGTTTACAACTTTACAAGTAGCGGGTTCGGCCTCACATGGAATACTGTTTTCACCTCTGGGCCGGGGTTCCCTAGTGCCAACTTCTTCCGCCTGACCACATCCAGCACAAAGCAGCTCAAATCGTTGACGAGTTCTCTCTCATCGATTCGATTTACTGGCGCTGCATTGCATTTGCATTTGTATGTCAAATTTCACCAAAACACATCGCAACAAAACTCATATTATCATCCACATCGTCTAGATTTTTGCCGGTTCACTACTGTGCCATTTACTAGGAGTTTTCTTCCTCGTACGACTTCTTTGTAGATTCGTTTACCACCGGCGATTTTTTTGGACCGATACAACTTATACCTACGTTGTATCGGTCCGGCACAATGCACCTGCAGTTCCCCTGGTGTTGCAGTTGTTCATGGGCGGCAGTCAACACCTACCATCAGATGAGCCGCATGCTTATTTGCCCCCTCTCCTAAAAAAATAGGCCTATATATGTGAAGAAAGAGATGATGCAATAATTCTTAAAAAGGCATGATTCCAATCATTCTGAAATTCAGTATTTTTAACATAAGAGGATTTAAAAATATATCTTCGTCCTTGCAATTATTCACATTGTATATCATGTTACCATTCAATCTTCATTATAACCTTTATTTATAAAAGAACATGTCCTCACGACTGATTTATCATCGCTGAGCCGAAATTGATGTAGGTAGCTAATTATCTGAAACTTGAACTTTAAGTTTCTTTTATAATATAAGGTAACTTCCTAACGACTGCATGTGTTTATAGAACAAGGTTTTTAAACAGGGTTATTTTTCAATAACCTTTTTGCATAAGAAATACCGGGTTGGGTTGACACCAGCAAACCGGTTCCCGAAGATTAATTTTGCAATATTACCACCAAATTAAACTTTGTTTCTCATTTTGGTAAGATTTTAATTTTATCGTTATTTTTGTAATTTTGGTCTTTATTTTTCATTAGCGATGTCGAATACATTATTACATTTTATTTTGGGAAAACTAAAATTTGTTCTTAATAACATTATCTACATTTTTTAACTGTGATAACACTATAGAATCTGTTAATGTTATCGTTATACGCCATTTAGACTCTCGCCTCGCGCCTCGCCTCGTACCTCGCCTCGCAGCTCGCGTGTTGTTGCGAGGTAACGAGTGCCTGTTTACACTCTCGCGATGCGTTCAGTTTGCGTTGAGCTAGCAACGATGAAAGACGTCGAAATAATAGCGGCATCAACTCTTGCCTTAATAAATATTTATAGATGCTTGACCATTTTAAAAAGAAGGAAATTAAAAACTTTCATAGATTTTTTCAAAGATCTCATAGATTGCTTTTTTCTTCGTAGGTGTTGACGAAAGGTAGCCACAAGCGAATTCTTTTTTACTTTGAGCTCTGCTAGCGGTCTGCACATAACCTCGGAAATTCTATTCCACGCATCATTTACTTTTTGGGTATTTTTATGCATAATATGTTTTGGATCCCAAATTATTCGCTCAGCCTGATAGAGTTCCAAGAACTGTAGTGTTCCTTCTTGCGACTAGTCCATTTTTAATTGAAGTCGAATGTGTAAACCCAACAAAATAACACAACCTGCACGGAAGGGCGCCGTAAACCATATAATGTACTCTGTGCCGTAAACAAACTGAAACGAGGGCGCGAGTGTAAACACCACGCTCGCGTCCCTCGCGAGGCCCTTTGCCTCGTGTCCAAAAAACCGCCTACGACGCGAGCGCCGCGAGTGGCGAGGCGAGCTGCGAGGCGAGCCACGAGCTAGCGTTTACACTCGCGCCTCGTCGCTTGCGCGAGAGTGTAAATGGGGTATTAAAACTTTTGCAGAGTTTTGGCGGCAACTTGACAAGCGGATTGCTACTCTTGTATTATTGTTTAAATAATGATTTGAAGTGAATTTCGATATGTACAAATGGTGCAACTTTGTGTATTAAATGTCTGCGCATGTGAACTATTAGTAGAAACTTGCTCCGATGGTGATGTGTATCTCAAGATAAGGTGTATGTCTGCTTAAGCGCCTTGAGATTGTAGCGCCAACTGTCTGCAGCCTCAAGTTACCGTCACCATCTCCCGAAAACTACGCAAGGTGACTCATCAACATATTGTGAAGTAATGTACTATAAAAGATTAATGAAGACATGGCTTAAAAAACAAGCGTACAAGTCAAAAATCTTAATATAAAAATTTTACTGGCAATAATAAGTATTTAATGTCAGAGCTCATAAATGTCAAAGATTTTGTCTATGCCCTTTTCCTGTTAAAATATTCTCTTGAGAGGTTGGTTTCATGTTTTTGAAATCCGTTTTAATCACAAACAGTATTTGTTTTTATGTTGTAATATGCCGTGGGATTTACTAAAATAGTGCTCTTATACAGATCAAGTTCTTATTTAATAGATTTTACAAAATTTGATTGTAAAATATATGATAATCTCTGTTTGTGTATGCCATCAGTGACAAAACCGCTCTGTTTTCAGTAACAAAAATGGGTCGTTATTCTCGGGAGCCAGATAATCCAGCTAAATCATGCAAGGCGCGTGGCTCGAATCTGCGTGTTCATTTTAAGGTAAAGTGTTAAATAATTTGTTTCTGTTTGAATGAACTGTACAAAGCCCCACATGTTACGTTTCGTTGGAACTAAATTTTATCGTCTTCATATGCATTTGCAATTAGAAATATAATTTGATATTTTTAAGTTTAGATGTACTCCCAAATTTCTAGATCTTAACTTTCACATTTATTTATTTGATTTGATGCTCTTAAATCACTTACGTTTACAGGAAATTAAAACTAGTTCTATACATTAAGTTTCTTTACTATAAAATCTGAGATACATAATATAAATTGGATGTCTTGCTATTTGGAAAATCCAAACATTCCTAAATTTCGTTATTTAGGCAGGATTTGTTCATTTCAAGAGCTCAAGTGTTTAGCTAGTTTGTTCGGTGGTCAGCTATTATATATATATCACTATTTGAAATTTGAAGCGAATTGTTTTTCTATATTTCAAATGTTATGTACAAACATTGCTATGATTATATGATCATAATATTAAACCTGTGTTCCCTTTGGTGGTCCGGGTTTATAAATGGCAAGTCTGAATATTGGGTTCACATCTTTATGGTAAAAAGGGTTAGTATCAAATACCAAAATATTAAAGTGCAAGAAAGTACCAAGTTTTTGTGGTACTGTAAATATGAGTGTCATTGAAAACTAGAACTGCAATAACAAAAGTTATAACCGATTCTTAGTAGGTTCATGTGTGTTTGGGGTTTAGCTGTGAACATTTCTGTTAGTATTTAGTCTCATTGGTGGCCTTTAAATGAAAATAATTATTGCTTTTGTTTAATAGTTAAAATCAAAAGAAGGATTAAACAGTTTGTTTGTTGAAAAATGTTGATATGGTTCTACACCATGTGTACAGAGTTATAAGCAAACATAAAATATGATAATAACAATATGTACAGTGTGTGGTGGCTATGTAAGATAATCTTACTCCGTTTTGTCTTATTGGTGTTTTAAAAGGTATCTGGGATATGCCAGAAAGATCTCATGAAGTTGGATAGATGACAGTATGTGACAGATGTTAATAGATTTGCAATAGGGAGCTGCAACAGAGAAGCAAGATAATTGGTACTGAGATTGTCAGTCCACCTAAAAGTCAAACCAATAAGCATGGTGATTATGACAAACACTCACTTAAATGGGAGAGGCTCTTGCAAAAACAATAGTTGGCTATATGAATGAATTCTATAATTAACTCAATAACAGGAAGCATCCCACATTTCATGGTTATCTGTTTGATCTGCAATACTGATGCACCAAATGTTTGTCAGTAAAGAAAAGATTGTGATGACATTGTTATATCCAAAAAACGAAATATATACATTTTGAATTCATATTAACTACACTGGAATAGCATGCCAAATTATTCCTATCTCAACAATGAGAGGATGATAGGAGGCTGAGTATTTTCAGTTGTGTTCTGTTACTTTAAGCTTATAAAAGATATGTATGTATAAGTGTAAAGTAAAAAAAATAGTAGATTTCCGTTTAAGACTAGTATGTTTCCTATGTCAAATATTATTAATTCTTTCTAATTAAAATGGGCTTAAGTAAAGCTCTTTTAAGCAAGGAAGACCTTTGTCTAGCAGTAGATTATTATTACAGATTAACACATTCACTGTCCTGTTTTCAGACAATAGTAAAACAAGACCAATTACCTATATGTAGTGCACAGGACAGTGAAAGGGTTGAGACAACATTTTAATAGCAGTCAGGAAAATTGTTTCATTTTGTGCTTTACTAAAGCATATAAAGTTGTTGGTGCTGTGCCTGATCTCCAGTCATGTCGGATTAACATCCTTCCTATCTGACTATGAGAGTGAAAGAATCGAGAGCCACCTGTGATTGCACACACGCCTTGTGCATTATAATCCCATTCTGCACAGACTTTTACTCTTTGTAGGGACCAGCTGCCATGACCAAATTTCAGTTAAGACATTATTATTTTAATGATAAGTACTTTAAATTTTTTGTTTATAATTTCAGAACACATACGAGACAGCAATGGCAATCAGAAAATTACCTCTGCGCCGTGCTGTACGCTACCTTAAAAATGTAGTTGACAAGAAAGAGTGCATTCCTTTCCGTCGTTTCAATGGTGGAGTTGGCCGTTGTGCTCAGGCTAAGCAGTTCGGGACCACACAAGGCCGTTGGCCAAAGAAATCAGCAGAGTTCCTGCTTCAGCTTCTAAGGAATGCTGAATCAAACGCCGACTACAAAGGCTTAGATGTTGACAGGCTGGTCATTGACCATATTCAGGTGTGTAATGCTCATCCATAACCTTATTTCGTCTAGTAGGTGTACAAGAGGCTGTGAAAAATATTACACCTTCCTAGACGGCCGTATAAGTTTTTTTCCATCTGCCAAGAGTTATGATTAAGTTAAATTCTCCATACAATGCGAGAGGCCTATATCCAGCTTTTGACTTTTTACTGGTTGATGATGATGATGATTGGTGAAACTAAATTTTATTTGGCCTAAATTTGTTTTCAAAATGTACTTGCATTAAAAGATATTCTTATTTTTCTTGGTTCATTGCTTTGCTATTTTTAATTCAAGAGTAAAGTTAGTTATTTTGCATGATTAAAGTATATAGAAAATAACAACATGTAATTAAATAACCTAATTTTAAGCTCTTATAAATGTCAATATTTATCTCTTATGGTTCAAATACTAATCTCTTATGGAGAAAAACTGGCAAGATATTTAAAATATAATTATAACTTTTAACAAAAAGTAAAAACCAGCTTTATATTGCTAAAGAAGTTATTTATTACTAAAGCAAAGCTAAAGAAGTTAGTTATTTGCTACTCTTAAGGATGAGATTTTCTCCATATTTATATGGGACTACCCTTGAAGTAGAACCTATTTAATAAAAAAGAATTATCAAAATTGGTTCACAATCTGTGAAGATATCGCCTAACAAACATCACAGGAATTGAGCCTTGAGAATCCTTTTCGAAGTGGTTTAAAAATATTTGATTAAAGAAGCATAATTATAAACACAATATTGCAACACATTGGAATTCTATATAGGCCTACAAATAATATTTTTCATAAGATTATTGTTGTCTATGTAATGCTCATTTTTTACTTTGCCTTCTATAGAAGGGCTTTGCTCTGCTACACAATCTTCATAATTAAACTTTTAAGAAAGTTTAAACCGACTCAATCCAACCAAAAAACCAAATCAAAAAAAAAAAAAAACTGAATATAATCATCCGAATCAGTTGCCATGGTAAATAATTATTTTTTTATTAATCCCATCTTCAGATCTAGCTTAAATTTTTATGGGACTAGCCCTGAAATATACCCCCTTTCTAACAAAAAAAGAGTTATTGTGACAAAGAATCATCGTTGAACCATACATTAAAAAATATTCCGATGAATTGAGCCTCCTTCTTTTTTGAAGTTTGTTGATAAATGTACATTTTGTAAACTTAGTGTTGTTCCTTGGAATGTTATTATATAGATATTTTTATACACGCAAAAGTATGGTTCTGGGTAGTCTGGTAGTGTGAAGTGAAAATGAAAAGTCCAGCTGGTGGTAAACTACTGCGGTTCATGGACACCTGCTAATGACTTAAAACAAAAAAGGCTACAAGTGTGTTATCGGGCCTGAGGACTCTAAGGTGGAATACCTCACATCCTGTAATCATCACAAATACTGGACATCATATGCTTCAGACTGGAACAGCTGCTAGTGAATCTTTGAATATCTCTATTATGAAACACAAGTGAAATTGGTTGATCATTGTTTAATTTTATGAAATAAATTTGAAAGCAGATGAATATTTATGAAGATAAGCATGAGGTGGAAGTGTGTTTGTAATCATTTCCATTTTATTACAATTAACTTCTAAATAGGTTTCAGTCCCAAAATAAAACTCCACATAACATTATAGTTTCTGGCTTTCTGTAAACTTTAATTTTTGTCCATGATGTATGTGAGTGGCAAAACTTAATTTGTTTGCTAGTTTTTCAAAGTGTGGTTCACACCAAATGTTAGAGTCAATTATGAAGTTCACAAGCACCATGTTATGTCTCAGGCCTTAATTTTAATAGTATTTAATATCCATAGTCAAGAACAAAGTACCTTTTACATTTTGTTGCCTATATTTTGTCTCAATTTACCATATTTATAATTATTGTGGGTGTAGGAGTCATTTTGTAGTTGGCCTTGTAGCTATGTATTAATAATTATAAGAAATAATAATGTATTTTATTTTTATTTTCTTATTCTGCAGCTATTAGAATGAAAACTAAAATCTGATGTCTGTAAAAATGCAGTTCTATTTCTTTTGCCTTTATGCTTGACAGGGTATACTACTTTGTACTTCTGTTTTCTAAAGGCATAAATTATATTATTGTAACATAATTAGCCATAAAATGATCAGTTGTCATTTTTAGGAGAATAGTTACAAACATTTGTATTTTAAACTAGCTGATACCCGCGACTTCGTCACAAAGTTTTCCATATACAGGGTTATTTTGCAATAACTGTATAGTAATGTAAGTAAAATATAGGTAATATAATAAGTAAAACAAACATCACTGAACATGTAGTGCTTATAAAAATCGTTGTTTCTTAAAACTAATAACTTTATATTCAATGAAAATATCACAATATTTTATTTTACATAAGTGTCTAAGAAATAAAACTTAAAAAACCTAATTGAAATCTATCAAGTAGTTCTTTCGTGGTGCACAACTGCAAACCTCTATCATTTTAATTTATATAGATAACTAGCTCGCCAGGCAAAGATTCTGCCCTTTCCAATTACTCTTCCTATAAAAACCTTTAAATTCGCAATAAAAAATTTTGATGGTCATTTATCGGGATAAAAACTATCCTATCTCTCAAGTTTGACCAAACTGCACACAGTGTGCAAAATTTCATTGATAATCAGTTCAGTAGTTTAGGAGTCCATCGTGGACAAGCAACGTGACACGTAATTTTTATATATAATGTACCATTTGACATATCCCCATTTAACATGTAGTAGAACAGAAACACACTGCTGCTATTTTATGGTTGCAGCACGAATGGGTCCAATCAATCAGGGAAAGGACCACACTTTCACAGAATACCAGTGTGAAATAGCAGTTTAATGCTCCTGTGTTTTATATGGCGAGTGTAGAGAACCGGATGCTTTAATGGAAAAGAGTCATACCATCGTAGTCATGGGTGACAACACATTCTGCATTTTGATTCTTAATCGAGGATAGATGTAGATATGTATGGGCCACATGTTTTTATTTAAGAAGATGTAATGAATTACTTAATATTTTCTCAAAAACTAGATTATAATGGCACTGGAAAACATGTTTATACAAATAAATATTAAATAAAGAAAGAGAGAAAAGATGTCCAGGGGAGAAGAAATTTGTGTTTATTTATTAGATTATTAAATTTAATTTCCAATAAAAAAATCATTATAGTAAATTGACATTGAAACATTGACAATTTTTATAATTAACAAGCTATACCTGGTTAAGCATTGCTTTGTCTGAAAGAAATATATCAAAAACACGAAAAACAAGCGCTTATTTCAAAGCAATATTGTTGACACAGCAATGCACAATCTGAAGAACTTTCGGAGATTTAAGATTTTGAAGAGACAAACATTTACCTACTTTTTTATTTAAATAGATTTAATGCAGTAATTCCACTACTATTATTAATATAGTGTTGTTTAATGAAATTTTCCATTCTTTTTAAAAAAGGCTTACTCATGGGTCCTTAGCCGGTTCTTTACTGTAGAAGTCGTAACTTCGAACCAAAGGTAGATTGTGATATTCGTAAGAGTTTGAAATAAGCCTAAAATGAAGATTTTCTATTTTGTTTTACACTTTAATTCTGTTTTGGTTAGTATACAAATGTATCGTGTCTGGGTCATCCAAATTTATGTGTAAATACAGAAAACATTGATAGCAATGTGAAGATTTATTACATCAATGTTGTTATAAAAAATTGTATAATTTCATGTATGGAATGGAATTTCATGTATATATACATAGTAGAGCCACGCTTCAGCTATATTATGGTTGTAGCATGATTGAATCCTGACTGGGGAAGGAACACTCTTTCAAATAATATCATCTTAAAAAAGCAGCTTAACGCTGCTGTGTGTGTATGGTGAGTGTAGAGAACCGGAGACCCTTTTTACTGGAAATTAGGCATTCCACCTTGGTCCTCAGGGGTGACAACACATCTGCGTTTTGATTCTTAAAGAGGATAAATGAAGATGTCTATGGCCCTCAGCGTTCACTTACCATCAGGTGGACTGTGTGCTTGTTTGTCACCATTATACTATAAAAAATAATTTTTTGCAGGAAATCACTTCCTTATTAAATATTATTTATACTTATACGTGGTAGTCATGCTGCAGCTATATCAGTAGTATAGTTGTAGCACGAATAGCAGCTTAAAGCTGCTGTATTTCATATGGTGAGTGTAGAGAACCGGTGACCCCTTTTACTGGAAACGAGACATTCTACCCTAGTCCTCATGGGTGACAACACATCTGCATTTTGGTTCGTATTTGAGGATGGATGTAGATGTCTATAGGTCACAGCAACTACTTACCATCAGGTGGACTGTGCTCGTTTGTCACCCTTATCCTATAAAAATCTATCCTTTTTTTTCCAGGTGAATCGCGCTCCCTGCTTACGCAGACGCACATACCGTGCTCACGGTCGTATCAACCCCTATATGTCCTCCCCGTGCCACATCGAGGTGTGCCTCAGTGAACGCGAGGACGCCGTTGCCCGGGCCGCGCCCACTGATGACGCGCCCGCTAAGAAGAAGCTGTCCAAAAAGAAGCTCGCTCGCCAGAAGGAAAAGATGATGAGGGAATAGATGTTTAGGGGTTAATAAACAATTACAACAACAAAACTGAAGTTTTTGTTCTTTTTTGACGTTCCCTTTTTATAGGAGCAAACGAGCATACGGCTCACCTGATGGTAAGTGATTACCGCCGCCCATGAACAACTGCAACACCAGGGGAACCAAGGGAATCGCAGATGCGTTGCCGACCTTTTAAAAAGGAGTAGGCTCTTTTTTTGAAGGTCCCTAAGTCGTATCGGTCCGGAAAAATCGCTTATGGTAATCGATTCCACAAGGAAGACGTGCGAGGAAGAAAACATATTCTAAATCGTACAGTGGTGGACCGCCTATCATCCAGATGGAGTGGATGGTATCGGGAGTTCTGCCGCGATGTGTTCGTGAAATTTGGCGGCTGGGATTAATCCGAACAAATTCCTCAGAGCACTCCTCGTGGTAAATGCGAAAGAAAATGCAAAGGGATGCAACATCTCTTCGCAGTGCCAATGAATCGAGCCGATCGGTAAGGACTCTGTCGTCGACGATTCGAGCCGCTCTGCGCTGGATGCGGTCAAGTGGAAGGTGCTGGCACTGGGGAGCCCTAGCCCAGAGATGGGAACAGTATTCCATGTGAGTGCGTTTTTAGTTACACTACCTACTTGCAATTTATTATCATTTCTTATTCATTTAAACAAGACTTAGCAGCTGGCATTTTTATAGCATATTCAAGTTTGATTTAGCACTTTATTAGCATTATCACCGCCAGTCTAGCATTTTTTTCATTTACAAAAACGGCAACACTGCATGTGAGGCCGTACCTGCGCCTTGTAAAGTTGCAGGCGGTGTGCCGGCATGAGATACTGTCCCGCTCTACTGAGCACGCCAAGCTTTTTAGAGGCCAATTTGGCCTTCTCTTCCAAGTGACCACGTAACTGCACATCACTCGATGTGTCGACTCCGAGGATTCCGATACTGGATGAGGCAAGAAGGGGAGTGCCTTGAAACAGGAGATACGAGAAAGGGGTTCTTTTCAGCGGTAAACGCGCAAACTTGTGTCTTCTGAGGATTAAACTGGACTAGATTTAGTCGCCCCCAATCCGAGTTCAGCAAAGACTCGACTTCAGACACAAGTTTGTTCCGGTACTCGGCGATGTTTTCCCGAGAAATATTTGCACGGCCGGTGTATAGAGCATCACCAGTGCTGTCATCCGCATAGCAATGAATGTTACCAGTTAGCAACATATCATTGATATGCAGAAGAAACAGCGTTGGTGATAGCACACAGCCTTGTGGAACACCAGCGTTAATAGGCTTGTAGTCGGAGCATGCACCGTCTACAACGACCTTGATGCTCCGATCTGCGAGGAAACTGGTGATCCAATTGCACAATTTCTCGGGAAGCCCATAGGAAGGGAGCTTCCGAAGAAGCGCTTTGTGCCAAACCCGATCGAAGGCCTTCGCAATGTCCAAACTAACGGCCAACGCCTCCTCCTTGGACTCTACTGCCTCCGCCCATCTATGAGTCAGGTACACCAGAAGATCACCAGCTGATCAACCCCGGCGAAAATATTATTGTATTAAATATTACGTATTGGCCGTCACTAATCAGCTGGTGATCTTCAAGGTACCGAATGAGCTGAGAGTTAATAATGAATTCCATTATTTTGGAGAACAAGGAGGTGATTGCGGTAGGCCTGTAGTTGGACGGGTCTGAGCGGTCGCTTTTTTTAGGGATCGGGTGGACAAAAGCGGTCTTCCATGATTTCGGGACTACGCCAAGGGAATAGGAGTACCGGAAAAGACGCGTTAGGACTGGTGCCAACTCCGAAACACACGTCCTCAGCAATTGGGGGGATTCCGTCAGGCCCACTCGACTTCTGGATGTCCAAGGAGAGGAGTGCTTTGCGAACCGAGCGCTGTGAGAACCGCACATCCGGCATGCAGCACTCACACCGCGGGATGGTCGGCGGTGTTTTCCCCCCGTCATCAAGAGTCGAGTTGGACGCAAAAAGGGAGCCTAAAAGGTCGGCTTTGTCTTTTGCGGCTTGGGCCATTGAGTCATCCTCCCTGTGCAGAGATAGTAGTGATGGCTTACAGAAATTCCCTTGGACAGCCTTGGCGACGAGAGATCAGAATGCACGGGTTCCCGAAGGAAGGCGAACTCGTTTCTCGCCAATTCTGCCTATGTGCATTTGCAATTCTGCATACTTAAACACAGCAGCATTAAGCAAAAAACTTTCCCATTACTTTTCTTCAATCAAGCAATGTTAAATATTATCTTGTTGTATCAAAGTTAGTTCAAAGTTTTATCTGCGAGCATAAAATTATGGAGCATTGTCGACATATGATCAAATGGCTGTTCATGTGGTTGTTTTGCACAGCATGGTTGCTCTATCTTTTTCCTATGAAATTCTGTTTTTGAACCTGAAGTTATCAAAGTGATTCCATAAAGAAAACTGATACTACACTAACTACATTCTGAAAAGCCGTCAGGAGTACAAGAGAGAAACTCACGTTTGCCGACTGTGTAATGATTATCTGGTCCGTAGTTATGAAGGGTCCGCGTTAATTTCGTCAGGAGTTTTATGAAGTGTCACAATTCAACTGATGGTATTTATTTGTGAATAACAATCAAATGTCGAGACGTCACTCCTATGGGCTGACTCGCTACCAGTAAAAAGGATCTGTTTTCCACACGAACCGTCAGTATCACGTGCTAAGTGCGTTTTCGGGTAAAGTCAACCCGTTGGTGCAGACGTGCTGTGCTATAATATGCTGCAGCGTCCATAAGCAATGTGCAAAAAAGGTTGAATGGATTTTTATGTAAGCCATTATCTTATCATTATACTTTGTTGTAATCAGCATCCTCAATGATACTAGAACATGTATAAAATACTAAATATTTCGAAAGTCATATGGTGCCATTTAGAGTTGAAACAAGTGGGATGCGGGAAGTAAAGACTAAGAATCGCGAAGGCGGAGTTATAGCCGAAATAAGAATTTTTAATTTTTTGGTTTTTGACCAACTTTTTACCCCTATTCAACCTTGACCCCCATAACATCCTCTACATGATAGGCTATTCAAACTGACTGCCTAAAGTTCGAGCCACCCCCCATTTTTTTGGTTTTTGACCTAGGAGTGTATGAGAACTTTTTGCCCCTATTCAATCATGACACAAGATAACTCTATATTGATCGCATACAATTTATTTATTTGTTTCTATGAAACAATTTACGATGGTGTAACTCGAAATGATACAAAAACGGTTGTCTTTAGCTGACAACCTAGCAGGGGAAACCGACTTATATTAAAATGCGACGGTAAACGGTAATACTTGATGCATTCAATGACTGATCGTAACATTCAATATAGATTTTCGTTGTTATATTTTGGCAAGTATTTGAGATAAAAATACGTCTTACCGGTCGGTAGGGAAAAAAATCTTTCTGAATCAGTTATTAACTAAAACATACAAAATTTCGAGTTGATACAGTGTTACCTACTTGTTATAGTTCGGCCGTTCAGAGAATGCGTTCCTGACACGTCGCGATTGAATTGACGACGTAACTTTGTAATGGCGTTGCAGTTACGATAAAAATATTTTTGCTGGTTGTTTACCGTTTTAACAATTGATGAGTATTAAAACAACATTATTATATCAATAATCAATGAATGTTATAATTTTGTGCCAAATTGAGTGTCAAATAACTTGGTAAACAATATTTTTCTAAATCTATACTGCGCTATTACAAGGTTATGTCAGCGCTTTATATTTGTAGTGCTGTGCTAACAATAACAGGCAATAACAGTATCGAAATCTGTTCTTATACAGTTATACTTTATAAAATAATACGTTTTGTTTTTCTTTTTAAGAATTTGAAATTAATGGACTATAAGATAACTTTTATTAAATATAAAAATAAAACTACGACCAAACCGAACGCGCGAAAGAAAGTAGCATTTTTATATTTAGGTTGAAAATGGTCACCCCAAATGGCGTTATGGGCCGCCATTTTGTGACGCTAAAACAGTTGTCTGTTGTCGTTTCGTGCGCATAGACCACGTTCTTCAAGTGTTTTCGATCTGTTTTTATTTGATTACCCGGCTTTCGTTTAATGGACTGTTTCTGCTTTTCAAACTGACATCGGCGCTAAATCGGATTTCGATTGTGTTTTGTATTGCGTTCTTTTTACTTTTGGTGCATAATAATGCCTAAACGTGTACAAACATTGAAAAGTGGAGCCCGTGAGTTAATCATCAAGCTGCAAGATTACTTTGAGCGGGAGCGGCAAAATGGCGGACCCCTGTTACCTGTCGAACAAGTACAAGAACGCGTCTCTCAGGCACTTGGAGTTACCAAACGAACGATAACAAATATTAATAAAGAAAAGTTCGGCTCTACTGGCACGGAAGATAATATTTTACGTACTACGAAGAAGAAACGTAGAACTAAACCCGTGACAGATATTGACACCTTTGACGCCGATGCAATCAGAAATCATATATATGGTTACTATTCCAGAAATGAATATCTCAACAGGAAGAAGCTTTTGGCATCGTTAAGAGAAGCTGGACTGTTTAGCGGGGGTAAAACTGCTTTAACCAAAATCTTAAAAGATATTGGTTTTTCGTATAAAAAAACAGACAAAAGAAAAATTTTATTAGAACGATACGACATAATTTTAAAACGGATTTTTTTGAGAGAAGCAAAAAATATTGATAACTGGGATAATGTCGTGTTCATTGACGAGACATGGCTAAACGCCAATCACACGGTTTCCCGTTCTTGGACGGATGATACACAAGCGTCGACGTCGAAAGTACCAATGGGTAAGGGGGCCCGTCTGATAATATGCCACGCAGGTTCTGCAAAATACGACTTTGTGGAGAACGCGTTACTGGCATTTCAATCAAAAACCACAAATGACTACCACGAGGAAATGAATGCCACTACATTTAAAGAGTGGTTCCAGAACGTGCTTTTGCCCAGCCTACCAGAGCCTTCTGTAATATTCATGGATGATGCCTCCTATCA